AAGTTGTGCCACGGGTCCAAACTTTCTGCGTTGATTCCATGGCTAATGTTGGCAACGTTCATCATGTTGCCCTACCTCGCCGCAAGCGTGTGGGCATGTAGCATCATGCATTTACTCCACCCAGTTGCTCATGCCCATTCCACGCTCCGCGCTCACCAGCGATCCCTGGTTTCTCCACCGCCGGTGCCACCGCAGTGTCTTCCGCATCCACAAGCACCAGCTGCTGGTCCACACTGGCGCATGCTATAGTAACCAAGCTCCGAAACCACTTGATCCAAGCCCTAGCATGGACCATGCAAGGGTTGAGTGGGAGGGACGGCGACACTCTAGGAGAGCCAAAAGAGATACTTACATAGTGTGCTTTCAAACACACTTATACCATACGAATCATCTTATAATCAAATGTGTAATACATAGGCTACAATGTATAGTATTCTCAATATACTACCGGCCACCTGAAGGGCACTACCTGATACAATGTGGTTATTTTAGATGACATTTGATGTATTTAATGTATTTGATTGTAAAATGAGACTCTTGTATCACAGCCAGCATCAATCTGCCCCAGGCGGCCGTTGGGTGTTTGGTTGAGGTGCAGAAGTGGAAGGGGCTATGAGCTAATGGAAGGAAGTTCACGTAGGCTTTTGCAGCCCCGCATGTTTGTGGTTCTTGTGCGAAAACTGCAAGAACCCCATAATGAAAATATAATTGTCCCACTATACTTGACTCATAAACCACTCCCACCGACGGGCCCAGTGTTGGCCCAAATAGTATTCGGATGTCATCCAAAATGCAAAAAAAGCACTCAGAATAACAAAGTGTGCCTTACCCCAAGTGAGCACACAAAAGAAATCACCAATATAAAAGGATTTCTTTCACCCTTCAACAACAAACTGAAATCTGGAGCTACTTAGCCTCCACTATCATTTTCTGGTCCACCGACACTATCACAAAAGAAGCACGTCATGGGTACCATCGCCAAAAAGGAACAGTGTCATAAGAAAGAGTAATTTCTCCTTTGCAAAATTTATTAAATTAAAAAATTGCACCAAACGATAGAGACATCACAAACGGCTGGGTGAAACGATGAAAACGAAAATGAGTGGGCTTTGATGGTGACGCACTATCAAGCACTTGCCCTATCAACAAAAAACTATTGCAAAGTTGGGAAGGGATTCAGACCCATGGTCGGGGCACTATTGGCAAGGAGGATTGGCTAGCCAAAACATTTCGACCGACGTTGGTCGACATTGATGTGGTAGTGTCTACCTATGTTTGGCAGCTAGTGGCATGACTATGAAGGGCCATACCTATATATGATCTCTCTATTCCTCAGCTATGCCTCTAGGCCAACGGCCATGCCTATATCCATCATAGCTCCATTCTGAATGATGCATTGCATCTTAGGAGGTATTTTCATTTCCTTCTTTTTGGCCTACTTGTTTGCCTTCTCTGCGGACTTCAGGCGTTGGGTTTTTCCATAGCACCCCTAGAGGCGTGTCCCAGGGGTTAGAACTAAACCCTAACTCTAGGTGTAGCGAGTATCTTTGCGCAAATCTTTCTCGCCTCTTGGCCGCGCCTTCGTGCACATCACTGAGCTTATAATTTAGATAAAGATGTTCTGAGTGGCGTTGATGCGCTAGCTATTGTATCAGCGCCACGCAGAGTATTATTAGAACATCTTTATCGGGGGTTCCTGTTGCACTGGCGGTGCTATAGGAACGGTTCCCATTAGCTGTGGTGCCACCTTGCTAGCACGGCGTCTGCCGAATAGCATTGGTGCTATTGCTCCCTTGCACATCCATAACCTTAGGTCTTGCTGCTATGCCGAACAGCGTTGGGACACTACAACAATACTCTATTCAAATAGCTTAAGGTGTTATTGTGGAGGTGTTCAGGTCGCCAATATGTGATATGAAATTGCTGCAAGCTCCCAAACTGCGAGCCTCAAAAAGTGACCATTAAGTGGCGAAAATCCACAAAAGTGAAAAAGGGCTTAGTCTCCTCCAAACAGGTGAATTCTAGCATAAAATGAGAATACGGAGACGAAAATACGGCGAGATGTATGGGTATCTCGTTGCGCACCTGATTTCGCCAAGATACGGGATACGATACCGATGTCACGAAAGGTCCTACATCCTAGGAAGTGCCGTGACGCACTAGTCACACACTTTTGGATGCGCGCGCTTGCCAAGGTGTGCCTTCACTCAGAAACTATTTCCAACAATGCAACACTGCTAGAAGGATGGATCTGCGCCGATCGGCCGTTGCAATGCATGTCGACAGGCTTGCACCTGCGATTGGGATCGAGGGGCTGCGAGCACCGATGGGAATCGGTGGGACCGGCGATGGCTGTGACTCATGGCGAATCTTCGCCGATGGACCCACTGGCCGAGTAGAGGCCTCGAAAGCTGGATGGGATTGCAGCTTGTGGAACGCACAAACGGCGAGAGGCACTAGCGCTGCTGGTGGTGCAACGCAGCAACGGTCTCAGGGGACAGGCGACAGGCTTCGCGGGGGCATATGATGTACTGCCATAGGGTTACCGACGGTGGCAGACAGGGCAGCCACCGCGTTTGTCCAGTGGGACTGAGATTGCACGTCCCAAACGCCTTCCCAGACGGGAAGGCTTTGCAAACCAAGGCCAAAGCTTTTTATCAAAGATGGTCAACCAAAACTAACCCAAGAGAGGGGTTGGCGCGTGTAGCAACAAATCTATGATGTATACAAAATAATCTACGCAATTTATGATTTCGCTGCCAAGCTTCAAGAATACGTGATCAATCAGCTTGATTAATGTCATCACGGAACTCGAAGCTTGTGGACACCGCACTAAGCCGACGCTGAAACCATCAGTGATCCAGAGCTCTACCACCGGTGGTAGGTAGGTCCACCGATTATGGTACCCTAATCCAGTTGATTGAAAAAAAATTAAGACTGCTGTTGGAAACACGTCTGGCCTCCAGGGGATTGCAGTGGACGAACATGCCAAAAGTGATGTGGATTTTCTGGCTGATAGATGCACGATTTATTCGCCGCAGGCTAGGGCGAGGTGTGATATCATTTCTTTCCAATGCTTCTGCCTCAAGCAGATGTGTTTTATGTGGTTCTGTGATGCTTGACAGCCCAATAGGGATGCGACCTGCCACGAATGGAAACAACAGGAATCCGGTTGTAAATTTGGTCATGGAGAGCTAGACTTTTGTAGCTGATGCGCTGGGTTAGTATATCAATCTTTTAATTTAACCAAAAAATATTATTGGCCTAATTTGTGGCGTGGCCGTGACGTCACAGCGTTGTTTGTGATCACTATATTGTAGTGCGGGAAAAGGGCAGCGGAGCCATAGGAGTGAACGAATATTCCTGCGAGTCTTTCAGATCGCGGCACAGATTCGATTGTGTTGCTGCGCGTGCGCTAGAGAGTTGGTGAAGGAATGAAGTGATGGCCATCGGAGCGTTGCAAGGGGGTTGTGTGAGGATTAGAAGTGCATGCTGTGAGGCTTGCGGAAGCACGCTTGCATGTGATATGAATAGTAAGAGTACATTTATGAGGCGCAAGGAGAGTGAGAATGAGAAAGAATGAGAAAGAGTGAGAACTACCATGTTTGGACGTGCCCTGAAAGGAATTGTATAGGATTTGATTGTACTGCCCTTTCTGACGTGGCTAGGGTGCTTGAGGAGTGGCTGCCATGCTGTGTGCGGGCTGCGGGATGCTATGCCAGTGTCTGAGGGGCTCAACGGATGGACCATAGTCCTTGAAGTTGTACAAATCCGTTGGCATTCTCCTCGTGTGCAACCCGTGCACACAGGCCGTGGCGCACAACCCAACCAGGTCGGCTTCGTAACCAAGAGTCTGAGGTCACCTGCGCTCGATTTTTGGCAGAGCGCACCCACTGCAACCTCGTCGTTCGAGTGCACGGGCTTCCAAAGGATTCTGTGAAAATCAAAGGGCTTCCCGCGTGTTTGTCACCCAAGGCCCGGACTTCTGCTTGAGCCCGGATGTGCAAGGCCCGGAGGCCAGTTTGAGCCGGATTTTCCAAGGCGGAATCGCTGGCGACGTGTTTGCGAGGGAGCTGTTCGGCCCCAGATTCGTCTCCTTGGACGCAAATCCAATCGACCCGGAAGGCGGGACAGGCGAAGGCCTTGGGCTTTGTGCATTTTCGCTGGGTGGCTGCCATACCAGATGGCTGCCTTTTGCAAAGTGCTATCTGGCCTTCGGTGGCGCTACTCGGGAACTAATAACCCCAACCTGGGTCCCTAGGGTGCTATTGCTCCCCCAATCGTTATAGCATCCTTATCGTTGGGTGCTACTATCCCGGCGGTGCTATTTGGCTATCCGAATAGGACTGGACGTCAAAAGAACATCATGAACGGTTGGGATGCAATAGCACCGGTCAATAAAGATGCTCTTAATGATGGTGTTTTGACATGCGGTGCGATGCAGATGGCCGAATAGCACCACCGGGGCAAAATTACCCACCGGTAAAGGTGCTCTTAGTCTCCGCTCCTCCCCAATTTGATGCCCGCCACACAACAACCAGTGTAAGGGTGGAAGGGTGCTCAAGGGGCTGGACTACCCTAATCCATGGCCAGGTGGTTTGGTATGGCAGCGGGACATCCCATTTATAGGCACTCAATTCGATCCGCGGTCAGGCATCCCCTCCACCATCCGCACTTCAACACCCTCCCTTCCTCTCACCCAGTCACACGTGCAAGCGCAACGATGCTGGAAAAGGACCCCGTTGTGCTTTACGATTTGTGGGGGGCAGCTCCTTGCTTAGATCGGACGTAATACATTGGAATTCAAAAAAAAGTGTGCAACGACGCCATCCAATTACGCTCCAGCCACCTGGATGCCCTGTTTGAGGGGCGACCGCCGCGTGGTTGTTCGCTGACGTTTCGACTCTGGGGCCGACCCGCCCAACACCGCAGCGGCCACGGCGGCCGCCTCCGCCGCCCGGGAGCGACGTCATTCTTTCCCCGCCGCCGTGTCGCCCGGCATGCGGTGGTCCAGGCGCAGCAGGCGAGGCAGGGTCGAATCGCAGGGCCAGCGGGGCGGCTCGCCAGCCGGCGGGCGTCGCGAGGGGGATGCCGATCGGGGGGCTGGGCGGCCGGGATGCGCGTGCTTCGGCTGGGGCCGCCGCTGGAGCGGGTGCCCCGGCGCCGGGAGGAGGTGGGCGGGGGGTGGGGGGCGGGATTCGTTGGAAAGGGGGAGGGAAACAGGGCATGCAGAGGGCACCCCCTACTGAGCAGGTGCACGCGAGACTCTGGTCGATGCTGTGGAAAGATGGTGTAGAATCTCCGATGCGAAATGATGAGCGCACAGCGCAGCAAGAACTTGGGAGCCCAGGGAGAGAGGGTTTTGCTGCCGGGCGATCACTTTTTTCTTCTGAGCGGCTTTCTTTCTTTTCTTTTCTTTTTGGTGGTGAAGGAGTGGCGTGTGCGGAAGGATTGTGGCGGGGAGGGAAGGTGGTTGGGTGGGCAGGCGTTTTGCGGAGGCGCTGGAGGATTTGATGTGAGGGGTAGGCGTGACGACCGCCGTTGGAGGGGGGTTTCGGCCGGGGCGGGCGGGCGGGAGCGAAAATTCGCGGCCTAGCGTGGCAGTCTGGGGATCGCTCGGTCGCTCCATTCGCGGTGGAGCCTGGCGGCGGATCGAACGGGCTGGGAGCGCATCGTGGGGATCGTTGTTTGCGCCGCAGTGACGTCGGGCTTTGATCGCTGGTTCGCGATGAGCGCCGCCCCCCTGTGGGGCAGACAGGCGCGGTTCTCGGCGCGCGATCGGCCAACCTGTGTTTTGATTTGGTTGCGGCAACCGAGTGAATGATGCGCAGGTGGCGACCGGCCGGCGGTGAAGGCGATCTGATTGGCGGCTTGCTGAGCGGATGCGGGGGTGATGAGGAGGTGGATAAGGACAAGAAGGTGGGATGCTGAGGCAGGCCGGTCAGGCCGCCTTGCTGTGGCTGCTCAGATGCCGATTGCCCATAGGAGACTGGGAGCTAAAAACCAACGAGTGTCGCTTACTGTGTAGGTCTGTTGACGTTGAAGGTCGTCCCACAAACTGCCCCGATCGAACACTGTAACTATGAACAGAGCCCACTCCGCATTCTCCCATTTGTGCTACAGGCCATAATTTTGCTGTCTGATGAGCTCAATGCACCCATCTCCCTGTGTTTGAATGCCTTGAGCTTGGTTAGTGCAACGTGCCTTAACAAATGCACAAGGAGACTATTCGAATAGGTTTCAGAGTTTATAGTGAGCTCATGGGATTTTGGTTGGCAAAGAGAGATGATTGATGGTTGCCGCTTCTTTCTAACAGGTGTTTTTGGGCCAACAATGTTGTGGGCATGGCCGGGAATGGTGCAAGAAGTAAAGAGGATGATTGTTGGAGGTTTGGCCATGTTAACTGAACCTTCTTCCACTCTTTGGAAAGTCTCAAAATGGCCATTGAAACCTTCCTGCGATGACCAAGTGTGATAGAAACCTATATTTTTGCTCTAGCAGCATGTCAAACTTGCCCGTTGAAGGCCACGTGGATAGTGCACCATAGTGAATGGAAATGTGCTTGGATGTCCCAGCGCAGTAGTCACCAACGCAGGTGCATATACAATAAGCATTTCCGATGTGGGCATCTGCTCTTATCTTACACTATGGGAACCGAGCATTTGAAACTTGGTCCTGGACTTGCGAGAAAGTGGCTGTGCACAGTTTCATGTGTCTAGAGAAGTTATATGAACTCACAGAATGGAATTGGCCGCTGCCATGCACAATGTACACAAAGGTGATCAACTAGCGCTTTCTCAAGCAAGGTGATTGTTGAAGACACCTGTTGGCAGACAACAAGGAGATTATTGTATCTGACATGAAGCTTGTCATGCAGTGGCCCCTCCCCTTGAGTGCTGGATCACCGAGTAGTGCGCTTGGTGGAAACCTGTAAACGTCCTTACAAAACGAAAGCGGCAGTTGCAAGGGCGCATACACCCATCTGCACCATATGTTGGTCTTCAGTGTCATTGCACATTGTATAACTGCAACAGCAAGGATGTATGTCCATGGAAAGGCCCCTCAGTCAATCTTTGGGCATACACCACCCTGCACATTCTTGTGAGGGGCACAAGTCCCACAAATATTCTGCCAGGAAAGTATAGTGGGCAGCTGGACTCAAATGTGGTGTGATGGTGTGAACACCGCCTCTGCGCTTACCCACCTACACCCTTTGCCCACCTCCAAGCTTCCCCAGTGGCAAACCACTCAGTCTAGTCTGTTGACTGCATCCAATCCCTTCTGGGGATTGTCCGATACCTATTTTTACCGGACACGAAGGTTATGGAGGGGTCATGAACGCCATGAAGGGTACCAGGGACCTAACAACCTAAGCTCTCTAAACTCTCTTAAAACGCCCTGGCACTCTGTACCCGAAAATGGCCTTCCTGACTTCCTGACTCCTTGAGTCCATGATATTCCTGACCTTCACGACTTCACGTCCGGAAATGAGTGTTATCGGGCATCTGTGGCCCTTCTGCGCCATGAGACTTTTTCGCTCGACTCTCCCGATTGCTGATCCCGTGCCCGTGCCCCCAGGTCTCCCCCCGGCCGAACTGGGACGCCCTGCCGATGGGCGTCCTGGTCATGGTCGGCGGCCTGGCCTCGCCGATGGCCGCGCTGGGCCGCATGCGTCTCGTCAACCGCCACTGGCGCGACACGATTGACGACCTGGTCACGTCCCTGCGCCTCACAGACGCCAACCTCCCGGACGGCGACGTGGGGCCGATCTTCGCGTCCATGAACTCCAAGTTCCCGCGGTTGCGGCGGATGGAGCTCAGCGCGCGGCGCCTCGAGGCCGACGATCTGGGCCACCTGTCGTGCCTGGCGAGGCTCACCGATCTCCGGCTGTGCTGCGCCCGGGGGGGGTCCCTGGGCCTGCACCACCTCGCCCCGCTCTCACGCCTTGTCTCCCTGACTCTGGTGGTCGGCCGGATGGGCAACGATGACGTCGAGCACCTGACGCGCCTGACTGCCCTCACGGCGCTCACGCTGAGCCACTCCTCGCCGCGGCAGCGCCCGCCGGACCCCGTGTCCTGGATCCTGCGCAGGTCGGTGCCGTTTTCGCGCATGGCGGGCCCCATGTCCGCCGCGGGCACCAACATCGGCAATGGGGGGATGGCCCACCTGGGCCGCATGCCGAGCCTGACATCGCTGGCGATGAGCGGCCTGCAGATCGGCAGCGGCGGGGTGGGCTACCTCTCGCGCGCACTGCGCGTGACCGCCCTCGGGTTGGCCCACACGCAGCTGGGCAACGACAGCATGGAGTTCCTCTCCAGGATGAGTCAGCTAACGAGGCTCGACCTGACGGGCACGGAGATGGGGGGTGATGGGCAACGGCAGCTGTCGCGGCTGACTCGGCTGCGGTCGCTGAGTCTTCGGGACACGGTGATCGGTGATTGGGTTGTCGAGGGCCTGACGGGGCTCACGGACCTCGCCGCATTGGATTTGAGCGGAACCGGTGTCGGGGATAGGGTGTTGGATTCGCTGGAGGGGATGGCCAGCCTGACGGCGGTGGGCCTGGGGGGGGCGTGCATCAGCGGCGAGGGCTGGGCGCGGCTGGCTCGCGGCGGAGGCCTGAGGAGTCTGGGGGCGCCGTTCGGCGGGGTGGGAAGGGGCTGGGAGGAGGGGGAGTGGGTGCATGGGGAGAGGTCGGAGGGGTGAGGTGTGTTGCAACATTTCAGTGAATCGATTGTTGCAGATTCTGATCGGACTCTGATCCATCGAATCTGATCGGATTCTGATCAATTGTTGCAGATTCTGATCGGATTCTGATAGATTGTTGCAGATTCTGATCGGATGCTGATCGCATGGTGCAGATTCGTCGAGATGGGTTGTGCGTTGGGCAGCCCCGCCTGGGCACATGTGTGTAAGACTCTTTTCCAAGGTGCGAAAAGATGGTGCAGGGCGTCCTGGTGGGAGGAGATGAGCACACAAAACAAGTGACAAAAATGGCAAGGAGGTTTTGGAGGGGTGAAAGGGGAAGATTCGTTAGGTAGAGAAGGAGAAACAGGTTGTGTGAAGGGCGCCTCCTGCTGGGCAAGCGTGCATGGGACTCTGTGCCATACTGTGGCCAATTGATGCAGAGAAAAAGGGATGCCGTGCATGTATCCCCTGTGAGGACTGTGGTTGGGGGAGTGGAGGGGAGAGGGGAACTGTTACTTTAGGCACTGTGTGGCAAAGAGCTCCCTTGACAGCTTCTTGCCCGCAGCTTTGTTCTCTTTTTCTTTGTTTTTGGGTGCGCCCTGCTGTTGGCTGTTGTGTGCAGCAAATTCAGTGTAAAATGACGCGATCAAAATGTGCAATTCGACGGATGTCGTGATGGGCCCTTGGGCAGGGCCAGCACAGCTGGAGGGCTTTGAAGGCAGACAGGCTGTGTGAGTATGTGCCAGGCTGACATAGACCTTCCATCAGAGTGAATGTGCTCAAGTCTGCTCGGGCAAAAATGCTCTGCTGACCAATTCCAGGGCCTGCCCAGCACCCAAAATAGTGTTTACCAATGTCCCTGCAAGTCAAGTCCATGGGAGCAAAGTGAAACCATCAGCTTGCAAAAAGAGTGAGGGGTTGCCTGTTCACATATGGACGTTTTCCAAGCAGCAATAATGTAAATTATAATGCAAATTATAGGTCTTTGCTTTGAGCAACCCTGACAGCACCTGTTGGTGTACTCCAATCAACCTGTGCACTGGCTCCCAGGTTGTGCAGTTGAGTCCAATTTGGGCTAATGGCAGTGAAGCTGTCTGTTGTTCATCCGGAGACGGTCCTGTTATTTGGAAAATTGGGAGTTTCGGACAACACTGTGGAATGCCCCCAGCAGCTAGGGCAAATGCTGTAATGGGATTGTGCCTGCAATTTCACAGACAAGAAAAAAGTGCCACATTGCAGAAACAAATGGACTGCCACAGCATTCGAAAAATTGGATTGCAGAACCATGCCTGGCTGATGTTTTGCATCCTGCCATAGGAATCCAGGTAGAAATTTGCAGATCGTCCAGCTCACACCCGCTGCACTGGGCATCAGTACACTTAGGGAGCCATCCTGTGTTTTCGGAACGATGCAACATTCTGAAGCCTCGACCTTCAACAGCTGAGATATGAGACTCCCAAAGCAATCAATTCGTAGCACTTGAGGTGCTTTCCAACTGGTTACAACAGAGCTCAATGCATCAAGCGTTTTGCCTTGCACTTGCCTTTCGCCCCTTCCAACACCCAAGCCTTTGTAAAATCCCCCTCCTGCAACACCCACAGCCAACCGTCCATTCTGCGATCCGGTTCCCAAGGAACCTCTAAAAGTGGAAGCGCAAACAGACAGTGACAACGTGAACTGTCCTCTGTCATGAATCCCTCTCCTGACAAAAAAAATTATTGACTACAATTGCTAGGGCCTAAAAATTATCCCAGAATATCAACTGCACTGTGGACAGTTGTCTGCAGCTCTAAACCCAATTAGCCACTCCCAATTCTCTGCCACCAACCAATGGCCAGCCATCAATGGTGCAGACATCCTCCCCTGTACCCTTCCCTTTCTGCCCTAATGAATTTTCGCACTCATCTTATGAGCAGCTCTGTAGCCACATCCGCACTAAACCTCAAAATCTGTGGCCCTGTGCCACCCATCGCCCAACAACTTCCCCACGCACTGCAGCCGCTTTCCTCATGCCTCCCCCCGCTCCCTGGCGGCGATCCTCTCCAGCCACCCCTTCAGCACCAAAGTGAGTAGGGCGATGGTGGACAGCAACACTGATGCTGCGTACGCCCCCTCCGTGTTGTACTCCTTGTAGGCGCTCTCCACAAACAGCGTCAGGGTCTGCGTCTGGCCGATGATGTTCCCTGAGATCACTGAGATCGCGCCAAACTCGCCAACAGCCCGGGCGTTGGTCAAGATCACACCATACAGCAGCCCCCACTTGATGTTGGGCAGTGTGACGTTAAAGAACACCTCCAAGTCGTTGGCCCCCAGCGTCCTTGCAGCCTCTTCCTCCGCGGGGTCCAGCCCCTCCAGCAGGGGGATAAGTTCCCTTGCCACGAAGGGCAGCGTCACAAACAACGTGGCCAGGACCATCCCCGGGAAGGCAAACACCACCGTGAAGCCATACTCACGCAAGATGGGCGCGAAGAGCCCCTCGCGGCCGTACAACAGCACCAGCATCAGGCCCACCACCACGGGGGAGATGCTGAACGGCAGGTCCAGCAGGCTGATCAGGAAGGACTTGCCAAAGAAGTCGTTACGCGCGATCTTGACGGCGGCCACGACGCCAAAGAGTGTGTTGAGAGGGACGCAGATTGCCGCCAAGATGAGGGTCATCTTCATGGCGTGCAGGAAGTCTGGGTCAAGCACGTTCTCCACGAAGGGGCCCACGCCCTGGGAGGGGACCAAGATAACATCTGTCAAGCTTTCGAGTTCGCTGTTCGTTCTACTGCCAATCAATAGTTGCGGAGGGAAGAAGGCGGGGTTTGAACCGCGATGGGCACCATCCTTGTCCCATTTCAAGTAAAAGGCATGATTTGTGAGTGAGAACGTTCAGCAGTGCGGGGAGAGTGCCCCTCAATAAGAGCAAAGCTCAAGCAGGTCCCTTGAGCGATGCCCAACACAGTCAGGTGTCTCCTCATCGCATGTGGCCGAACTCCCTGCACTACAAATTTCCAAAACTGCCAAACACGGCCTCTACACCTTGGGAGGCGATGACGACCGCCAAGCCGTGCACAACCACCATCCCAAATGGTGAACACAGGACATGATAAACACACAACAACATGTTCCAAAATTGGGGGAGAAAAGAATTGTTACAAACAGATAAAGAAAACAGGTCATCCAAAGCGCACCACTAGCTAAGCAAGTGTATGCGAGACGCTTTTCCATGCTGTGAAAAGATGATATAGAGTCTCCAATACTAACTATGAATGCGCACACAACGTAAGAAGGGGAGGGCATTGACGATGGGGGATCCTTTGCCAACTCACCTTCGCGAAAGCCGATAGGAAGACGTTGGCGAAGGGCAGCAGCACGACCAGCGTGACGTAGGACGCGGCGATGCCCACCAGCAGGCCCTTCTGCCATGTGTCCACCGGCTCCGCGTCCCCTTCCCCGCCCGACCCCAGCCCGCCGCCCCCGCCGCCCCTCGCGGGATCCCCCAGCGGCCTGCGGCCCCGCCGGCGCCCGACTCCCTGCTGGCGCATCCCGCCCGCAAAAAATTGGATCGCATCTCCGGCCCTTTGATTGTGACGGGTGCCCGGGCCGGCGCGGATCGCGCAGCGATCAGGGATTTGAGTTTGGGCCGGGTGGTTGCGGCGGCCGGGCGGGGCTGGAAGGGCACTGATCGCGAAGGGCGGGAGGGGGGAGGGGGAAGGGAGCCGCCGGAGGGATGCCGGACCATGTCCGGAGGGGAGGGGTCGCATGGTGGCCGGCGCGGGCGCGCTTGCGGAGGCCCACGCCCTGGGGAGGTCGCCTTCGGCGGTGGGTCGCACAAGGAGAAAAAGCGGCTAGGCAGTGACACGCAGGCCTTTTGCTTTTCCCTTTTTGCTTCTCTTTTTTCGCTTTTTGCTTTTCTTACTATGTCGGCTTTTCCGCTTCTTTTTTAAAAGAATTTTTGTTTTTGACTTTTTGCGCTCTTGTTTTGTTTGTTTATTTTGCTTTCTGTTTGCGCAACTGCATAATGATCACCGTTTTACTGGGTGAGTCATGTATAAATCAAGGGAAAATGACAAAAGGGGGTCCTTTGTGAGATATCTTGAAAAGAGGGGGTCCTTTGTGACAAAAGGGGTTCCTCTGCCGGGGTGCATTTGACAAAAGGGGGTTCTCTGACCGCCCCCCGTACATTAGCCACGTTGCCGGACCATCGCCAGACTGACGCCGTATGTTGTGCCCGGTTGGGCACGCCCTTGATCGTTGGCACGGAGGCATGAGGCGGGTTCCCACGGTAACGGTTACATGCAGGAGCGAACGGACAACTGTGACGTGGTTACTTGGGGTCAGGCAGTTATTGAGGTTTTCTGAAGTGGAAATTATGTAATTAGCTAAATCAACCTTTTGTGAGTGTTATTAAAAGCTTCTTGGTTCCAACGAGCTTTTAAACGCCCGATTCCGTTAAGAAACGGCGAAGATATGGCCTCCTGAAGTTGTAGTACTTAGGGCCAGGGGGTCGGGTGTTCGATGCTTGGAATTAGAGGACATTAGGTCGATCGTAGGTGAACGGTGGACGGTGACGATGTGCCTGGACGTGCACCTAACTTGTCTTGTCTTGATGTGACAACGATGGACCCACGATCGGGCATCGCGCATGCGGATTTGTGCGCGCGCATGCTGTGAATTGTGTAACCGTTCTGGCCCACTCTTTGGCCTCCCGCGAGCCAGCGAACCACCACCTCGCTGCGCCGCCACCTCTCGCCGACAGCAGGCCCCGGGGATCGATCCCCGTCGAGCATTGGGCCCACCGCGCGACCGCAAGAGCGACTGCCCCGAATACGCCTACCGTCCAAGGTGGAGAGGGCCGGCTGACCTCCAACAGCCGAGCTGCAGAGCAGGGCGACCCCAACGCCTCCGGAAACTAGCGGCTGCCGACGGGGCCGCAACAAATTGGTTTCGGAGCGCGAAGCCCGGAGCCGGGAGCTAAGCGAGAGGCGCAGCATCATGGAGTGACCACGCGGCCTGAGGGCTGCGGATTCCAGAAGCCTCCAACACCCTAGGCAGCGGTCAGCACCTCCGCGGGTGCTGAATCACCTTGTTGTGTGCCTGAGGGAGTTTGTTCAGTGAGCCTGAGGAGCGATTTGGTGGAGGATTGGTGTTCGGGGATCGACGGTGCCGGGCGATCGCCAGATCCGCAGATTCGTCAACGGATTCAGTGCATGCGCCAGGCGCCCATCGTGTAGCCAAACACGCGAAGGCCAGCACCTCTCATTTGGAAGATTCAATCAACCTCAGGTGCCACCCGCTGTAGAATAGGGGTGAAGGTCCCACTCTAGAAGTAGGGGACATCTGCTGCTTCACCTTATTTTGTAGGTACTGCAGGCGGGTCACCACCAGACTGCTCTGCACCAAGATTGGGGGCCTGACTGGGGGAAGGGGGAGGAGATTGAGCACGGCAATAGGCAGGCCCACTTGGGTCTAGAGTGCTACCTCCTAGAGGAGGCATCTCCCCTGGAACCGGTCAGAGGGTGAGGCCATTGCCCACCTGAGGTAGACAGGCCAGTCACCCCTTCGGAACCTTGGGTGGCTGAGTCTTAAAATATTAGACAGGCTGGGGGTGCCATAGGCCAACCCAGACCTCTTACAACGGTCTTGTCCCAGGCAAGGGACACCTTCTTAGGTTGTTTGGCTGATGTTGGGACTAAGTTTTCATTAGTAGCCACAGACGCACCCTCTGGAAAGTTACCAGGTGGACCGAGAGGTCACCCTACAGAGTACTGGGGGTAACTGTATGTGAAAGTGATTACTGAAAACCAGTAGAAGCAAGATAACTTAAGTTGGGAGGTAAAGGCTGTTTGGCTACTAGACAGGATTCGCGACTTCAAGAGCCCTAAGCATCGCCCGTTTATCGACTTCGCTTCATTAAAGTTTACCACAGATCGTCAAGAAGGACCGCTATCGGGACGTGATACGCATCGGTAACGGAGGAACAGAGGATTTGACACAGATAGAAACCTGATGACTGCGCCGCATGAAAGCACACGCCACAACGCTGGGTCGACGACGGGCATCGCCAGTTGGAAAAGATAACGCCCGTGACATCTCATAGGGCAGTTTCGCATTTGGAGGGTCAGACCAGGGAGGCGTTTGGGCGAGCTGAGGCCGCTATGTCATCAATGCAAAGAAATGTTACTAGCAATGCTGACAGAATTGCTGAGCTGGAGAATGCATTGGGACATGAAAGGCAGAGAAATGCTGATACGGAAAGGAGGCTGAGGAGGGAACAGGATGCGACTGTCGAGCAGCTTACTCGGCAGCTTCATGACGCTCTATCCAGGATCGATCAGTTGTCCGCGGACCTGGCTATAGAGCGGTCACAAAAGGATTCTCAGCCCCATTAGCAGACCGTGCCTAGACCCCAAGAACCACCAGTGACAACTACATATAGCCGACCACCGCATTTGCAGCAGGAGCTAGAAATTGTTGCTGATGCTAGCGATCAGACGATGCCCCCTGCAGAGGCCAGCCATGTTGCCCGTCAAGGATGACAGAGGTCCAGATCACACAGGTCGCAACATGCACGTTCGCCCAGTTCTGACATGACATTATCTAGCGAGTCATCGGAGAGGTGCACTCGCAAGGGGGCGGGGATTTTTGACGTCCGAATAAAACCAAAGGACCCCCCAACCTTTTCGGGTAGGACATCTAAAGACCCGGAGGTGTGGCTGGGTCAGGTGTCAAATCTCTTTCGTCTGGTCGGAGGATCGCCTGGGAAGCAAGTTGCATATGCTTCCACTCTGCACCAGAGAATTGCACAGACCTCGTGGCAGAGAAAGCTGAAGGCGTGGGATGACCCCAAGGATATGCAGACCTTTGGAGAGCAGCTGATCAGCCGATTCCAAAACACAAACAATGCTGATTCTGCAATGGCTGCATTGATGAACATCAAGCAGAGGAAAGAGGAGTCCACGCATGATTTTATCTGTAGGTTCGAGGCTGAGTTGGATAAGGTGGACACCTACGATGAATCATGGGTGTTGAAGATGTTCATCTGGGGCCTTCCCCAGGACCAGGCGGTACTTGTCTCACAGGGAAAGCCTAAGAGGCTGAGCCAGGCTTTCCAGCTGGCCAGGGACGTTGCATTGGCTGCCCAGATGTCGAGACGCCCAGGATCAAGTGGACGTGCTGAGGGCAGCAGTGGACAGAAGGGCCATGGACGAGGCCAAGGCAGGCAGCCAGGACAGCAAAGTGGACAAGGATCGACACCAGCTCCAAACGTTGTGTACTACCAGGCTCAAAATAAAAATGTGCAACAAGGGGGTAATCGCGGAAGGGGGCAGGATGTGAAGCCACCCGTCCCTCCACAGGCTACAGTCGTGGTACGCTAGCCTGTGCCACAACAGTCTAATAAATCTGGACAAAGGGGACGGGGCTGAGGCAATCAGAGGAAGCATCGGGTAATAGCGGTAGCTGCCCATGATGATCAGGGTATGGCTGGTTAGCAGGACCAGGTGGCTGCACAGCATGCAGCCAGGCATGGAACCGATGCTTCTCTGTATCAGGGGCAGGGAAACTGTCTGGCCCCCACTCTGGCCAGTCAGGAGTAAATCGGGGGCAACAGGGGCAGATTATCCAGAGGATGTGCACCCTAGAAAACAGAAAACTCAGCATCGCCTAGAGAAGACGTCAGAGGAGAAAGTGGCAGTGGAGAAAGCGGCTGGAAAGACGTTGGTACCGACGCGCACAGCGAGCTGAGCAGAAAAAGGTTTCGGTTGATGGCACCAGGGAGACAACTTTAATGTCTCAAGCCCAGCAGGGAGAGACCCCTACGGTGTCAGTTCAGAGGTTGGAAACCGCTCCAGTTGCTGATGCTGTGGGACAGCCAGCCCCAGGCACTGGAGTTCAGGACCACGTGCTGCTGGTGTTGAACGCCGTGGTGAACGGGACAAGTGTCCCTGCGTTGATTGACAGTGGAGCGAGCAAGTCTTTCATCAGTGACCGGCTTCACTGCCGACCAGCTTTACAGTTTGTGGGAGCATATTCTGCCTTGGAGTTGGCAAACGGGGAAACCATAGTTTCCACCGGAATAGCCCCACGGGTGTTGGTATGCATCGGGAGTGTACCTTGTCGACTATCATTGACTGCAGTACCGATGATGGAAGGGGTTCAGCTGATTTTGGGCAAAGATTGGCTGGATATCATGAACCCACTGGTGAATTGGTGGTCAAACACGGTGTACCTTAGAAATGGCTCACAGCTGGAGCCTATCAAAGGTATTCGTGATATATCTGGTCAGCACTGCCAGATTGTCGACAAGGGGTTGAACAGTCTCCAACACTATTTCAGAGACCTCAAGAGGGGATCAGAGACTCCTACTGCAGACTTAGGGAGCAAGTTGGCTGCATTCTGTTCGCCAAAATTTTGGGAATATGGTCCTTCGGCGAAGCAGTGGGCCACTCGACAGCCAGTGCTGAGTAACGTGTCATCGCCGGGGACGGCCGATGTTCCCCAAGGGGGGAGTAAAACCCCACAAAATTTTTCTCCAGAGGAACCT